AATCAGCCCTCATCACTTCCCTCCTGAGAAAGAACAGTTCCCATCTGTGTGTGTGTGTATGCACACTCATGTGCGTGCATATGTGTGTGTATGTGTGTGTATCACACAGACTGGGGGCAGGCAGCACCAACCCCCATGTGGCACTGACTTTCAGATCAGGATCGTCTTTGGCCCTTACCTGGAGCTCCCTCCTCTCTCCCAGCCCGTGATCCTTTCCTTCTTCTCAACTTAGGAGGAAGCCATCACTAAGTCCCAAAGTTCAGCAGGAGCCCTTCCAGGTCTGAACAGCTGCTCGGTGACTATCTGGTCTGGTGGGCAAATAGCCGAAGTGCCACCATACAACCAACAGCTGGGTCCCCTTTCTGTCAGCCTGTTGGTTCTGTCCCCCTTTGTGTTCAGCCTTGCCTGTTGGTTCTAGATAGAACAGCAGCCAGATACCAGTATGTGGCAAGGGCCCCAACCAGATCCAGGGCAGAAACTTTCCCCCAAATCATTTCAGGCCAATGTCCCAGAGCCCTGTGAGGTAACAGGTAAGAGAGGAAACAGCCCCAAAGTGGCCACAGCTGCACAGGTAGGACGTGCCAAAGAGAAGATTCCATCCCAGATCTGCTCCAAAACACTCCTTCCAGGACAGACTAGGCCCTTGTGGAGTGGGAGTCACCGTCCCAGGGCTTAGAAGGTAAAAATGAAGAGCAGAGAAATGAATGAATCTAGGACCAAGCCCAGAATCTCTGAGGAAGTGTTGTTTCTACACCGTCCACCATTCATTCACTACCCATCATGGGGACAGGCACCATTCAGGATTTGCTCTGTTCCTCCTGCCTCCCGGCAACCTGCCCACCCCACAGTGTGGACCAAATGCACCTGCAAGGCAGCCCTCAAATGCCAGCCTGCATCACTCTCTCACTACCACCCAGGCCTGAGCCTGGCCTTCCGGCCAGAGAAGGGCCCCATCTTCTTTACGCTCCGCTGGAGGCAAAATGACCTGCATTTACCAAGATCTGCCCCTTTACTGGGAGACTCAAAGCAATCTGGCTAACGTCTGCAAGCCTCAGTTAACCCATCTGTAAAAAAGAACCAGAGAAACGCCCCCACAGTGGGGCACACTGCTGGAACCCCAGGAGACCATCCATGGGAAGCATAAGGCTCCATGGATGGGAAGTGCAGGAACTGGCTATATTTGCATTCCCTGAAGAGTCCTGTGGAGGATCAGAACATTCATGACTAGTATTTGTCTGAAATAAACACTCAGGAAAGGAAACAACTGTGAAAGCATGACACCTCCCAAATGCAAACAGACAGAATGTCTTGTGGGCTTTAGATAAATGAGATTTTCTCCAACACTGTAACATCCCCCCCACACCTACCTACCCAGGCCTGTAAGAGCAAAGATAATGCAAAACTCACAGCCCTATCAGGAAACTTTCCCATGGATGCACCTGCAGTTTGTCTGAAGCCCGCACCAGTTTAGTTTAACTAAAGTCTCCTAGGGGCACCTTATGAAAGCTAGGAGAATGGCTCAGCTCCCTTCCAGAGAGCCTGAGAGAAGCAGTAACTGCCCACCCATCAGCCCCACCCCACACAGGACTGGCAGAGAGGAAGGAAGCCAAGGGCTGGCAGCATATGCACACAATGGAGGATGGGGGCTACTTGCTTGCCTTTCATAAACAGACTCAAAGCACCAGATCCACAGCCAGTTCCCTTTCCTCACAGAGACAAGCAGGGATGTGCATGCCCTTTGCTGGATGTCCTGAACAAACCTTTGCCTTTGTTACCAGCATCCTGGAGCCCACATGGCCCCTCCTGCTTATGCTCTAGACCTCTCTCAATCAGCAAGCTCCGGCTAACGTGCACATCCTATCAAAGTTCTCTGCTCTGCAATTTACCAAACCACAGGCTCAGCATTCACCATAAGTGAAGGGGAGGCTGGAAGGAAGCATGCTTCATGTCCTGGCAACTAACCATACTGAATGTCTTACCCAGGACACTTGGCCTGTGGGTGTGGTACAACAATCTAGAGGGGAGAGGATCAGGCCTCAGCCCAACACAAACCTTTCTGTTACACGACCCTTTCTGTTACTGGCTACCCTGGGTTAGGAATTATATAGCAATCTCTCACTCTTTGTCTTCCTAGTTGATCTCAACTAGACTTAGGTACCTTCAAATGAACAAAACCCACACAAGAAAAGGCTTCAGATCCAGGGCAGTGGCTAGCTCTCGGTTCCCTCATCTATGAAATCGGGGCTGAGGCAGAATGCTAGTGGCTTACACCTAGAATCCTAGCTACTCAGGAAGCTGAGATCTGAGGATCCTGGTTCACAGCCAGCTGGGGTAGCAAAGTCTGTGAGACACTTATCTCCAATGAACCATCAAAAAAGCCAGAAATGGAGATGTGGCTCAAGTGCACTAGCCTTGAACAAAAAAAGTGAAGGGACAGCATCCAGGCCCTGAGTTCAAAACCTAGTGCTGGCACCTAGAATGAAAGAATGGAAGAAAGAAAGAGAGAAAGGAAGGAAGGAAGGAAGGAAGGAAGGAAGGAAGGAAGGAAGGAAGAAGGAAGGAAGGAAAGAAGCAAGGAAGGAAGCAAGGAAAAAAGAGAGTAAACCAGATGAGTGCTCAGGTCCCTGCCAACTCTACAGTTCCACAACATATACTTTCTCCTTTCATTGTTTTCCAGAACCTCAGTGCAGAGCTCTGCATGGCTCCATCTGCTCAGTGACATCACCCCTGCCCCAAGCATCATGTCATACATTCTTATATAGGAAGCGGAGATGTCCCAGGAAACCCTGTGTCTGTAAAAAGGGAGGAAATGGATTATTTCAAGGGAACCAGACAGAACTTCTTTTGTATTTCCCACATAGTGTACATTACTATTAATCCTAAATCCCCAACTCTTTCTTCCTTTCTGCCAGACCATTAATAGCTGCTTTTCAAAAATACTTTCTTAGTCAGAGTCTCACCAACAGTCAGCTACTATTTAATGAGTGCTTGGTATGTGCTCAGGGCTAAGTGCTTCATGTGGATGATATCATGTAATTCTCCTGACAACCCTATGAAGTACAGATGATTGTGACCTTCGCTTTAAAAACAAAGAACCTGAAGCCCACAGAAGTTTAAAGAGCATGTTCAAGGACATACAGCCAGTTAGTGGCTGAGCCGTCTTTGAACAAGACAAGCTAGCTTCCAAGTCCTCAGCCAGAACTGCCCAAGCAGCTCCCACTCTGGTCTTCCTAGTAATATTCCCGATGCATTGGCAGCTTGTCGTGCACATGGTTGGTCAGAACTAAAAGCTGATGTTTCATCTAAAATCTGGAACTAGAAAAGCACCTGATTGGGTCTCAAGAGCAAAGAGTGCCATCTGTTGAAAGCAGTACCAACTTCAACCCAGGATTAAGAAAGAGAACCCTTAAAAACCTTGGTCTGCAATGTTTAAGACTGGAGGTTAGGAAGGTGAGCTGGATACTAAGGTCTGAGATGTGAAAATAAGAACAAAGTGACCACCACCTAGTTATCCAAGCTTTCCAAAAGTTACTGTGTGTGTGTCTCTCTCTCCTGCTTGCTTTCTCTCTCTCTCTCTCTCTCTCTAGCTCTATGACTCTGTCTCTCTTTTTTTCTCTTTCTCCTTCCCCTCCCCTCTCTGTGCTGTGGGTGGAACCCAGAACCTCAAGTATGCTAGGAAAATGCTCTACTACTGAGCCACGTCCTTGGTCCTAAAAAGAGTTTTCTTGGGAGGACATGTGCAGAAGTAGATGACTGAACTAACTCCTTGTATCAGGGAACATCCCTCTCTGCCAGATCATTCTCCTCCCCAACCTGAGCCCAGCCCCACAGGCTACAGGATAGTAAAAACTCCCCCTCCTCACCCCCCACCCCCCCCACACCTTCAGAGATGCTGTGATCCAGGCAGAAAAGCAGCCTGAGGCTCATAGTACCACAAACCCCAGCCTCTCCTTCCAACAAGGAAATAAAAGGCACTTCAGAGACCAATGTGCAATCTAGGGCAGCAACCAACAGCCTGCTTTAATTGTTAAAATTAATGCTTTGGGTATTCTAAATGCTCCTTTAAATGCCTAATTTACAAATCAGACGCAGCTCTACTGTCCCCACATCCTCAGTGCTTTGGAAACCCGGCTGTTGGTGTTGTCTATCTCAAGTCCAGGAGCCATCCTGGGGGCAGCAAGGACACTGTTTACTTCCTAAGGTGTGAAGGATGGGAAGACAGACCGGGCTGAGATGAAAGAGAGCCTGTCACAGACCTTGGAGGCCGGCCACGTCAACCTTAGCCTCTTCTCATTAATTTGGGGGACAGCAGGGGGAGGGGCGCGCCGCCAGCTCCCCAGAGACCACACTAACATTTGCCTGCTGGTGTTTGGAGATGGAGCATCACTTCAGAGGAAATGACCCCGGCTAAGGGTCACGTCCAGGGGAGGGATAAAAGGAAAAGCCACAATTCCCCTCACACCGCGGGACACAATAGCTTTAAGGAGGAAATCAAAGCTCGACGCGGAGGGTGGAGAGGGCTGGGGGCGCCGCGCTTCCTTCGGCCTCCCAGACCCTCTGGGTCTGAGCGGGCATGTGGGAGGCAGGCTGGGCGCGAGAGGCTCGTCCCCGAGGGCGGAGGGGGACGGGGGGGGGGAGGGAGCCTCCGAAAGCATCCCGGGAGCGCGGGGAAGATGCTCAGTGGAAGCCGGCCCGGGCAGGGGGCGCCCCGGGGAGCGAGGGGGAAAATGCCCGATCCCGACGGGGCGTCCCGAGCCAACCACCCACCCGAAGCCCCGGCGGACACATGACTTCACCGTCGTCATCACAGACAGGGGCAGGCAACCACTTGCCAATTCCAATGCCAAAAAAAGAAGCCGGGGAGAGGGGAGTGGAGGCCGGGCAGAAAAGGCTTCCCTGGAGATCGCCGCCCCGGGAAGGGCGGACCGGAGGACTCTGGCCCGGGGCGCCAGCAGGCGGGCGGGGCGCGGCCCCGGCGGGGCTCGGGGATCGGTACTCACGTAGTGCTTCGAGGGGTTCCTCCGCTTCTCCACGTCCACCACGGTGGCCTCCTGCACGCAGTAGGCCAGCATCTTGCCGACAAAGCGAGTGGCGCCTCCCGGCGGCGTCACCTTCTCATCCCCACCCGGCTCGGGCTCCGGCTCCCGCTGCCCGGGTCCCGGCGGCCACCCCGGCCC